TAATAACTACTAAATTAACTTTAATAAAAATTTATTTTTTTAATTTTATAATTTTATAGAATTAAAATAAAAAAAAAATTTATTAAATTTAGTTTAATAGTTATTGAGATATTTTAATTGAAAGTTTAAAAAACTTTTACTTAGAAGAAATCTTACACCTTTCTATTGAAAAGCCCCTATATATATACCTATAACAGCTATATAACCAAGATTTTGATTTGAAGTTCATAAATTGGTAATAAAACTTAAATGCCTGAGTGTATCCTGTATCATCATATAAACTTGTGTCTTAAGATTTGCAATACGATCCTTATAATCTTCATGTATCGTCTTTTTATCTATTACTTTAAACTAAGGTTGCAGATTTTGCCAAATTTTAAAAACCCCTTATGCTCAACTATATGAAAAAAAATGTTTGTGCATCAGAATCATATTTGCTAAGTTTTCCCAACCTTTCTCTTGAGAGAATTTGTAGGTAGTAATACCCAAAGAAGAAAGTTGCAGTTTTTGTTAAGATATATCTTTAATATGCTTATTACATTTGATATACTTTAGATGCTGGATCAAAAAACTTGTTCCTGATCTACTATCGTATTTAAAAGTAGTCTTACAATATATGCATTGAACACGGTCTGCTAGTTATTATAAGTATTTTAATAAACAATTGTAAATAAAATATTTAACATTAATTTACTTATACTCTTATGTGGCAAATTATCCTTGATGAAATGTTCTTTCTGAAAAACTTATGATAGTTCTTTGCCAAGCTTACGTTTCTTAATAGCAGAAACCACTTCAGAAACTACTTCAGTATTTTCATCAAAGACCACTTCATATAAGACTACTTTATCTGAGACTACTTCACCTTTACTAACAGAATTTATAATCATTTTTATATAAGCAATCTTGTAGACTACAATGTATATTTACTTCAATGTAATATATTACTTTTTTTTCAAAAAAAAAAGCTGATCTTCTTTTATATAATTTTTAAAATGCCTTATTTTCATATATTTTATTTCTTATTTTGAAATCACAAACTTTATTCTTCCATCAAAAAAAAAAAATAGGATCTCTAATGATAAAGATACATATTAGAGAAAAATAGGATTAAATTAAAAAATTGAAAGAAAAAAATTTTTAAGCATTTTGACGTGTTAAAAATTATTTTTTTTAATTTATATTAGTAAGCACAAATTTGATTAACTTAATTTAGATAAAATTTATATTAGTAAGTGCAGATTTGATTAACTTAATTTAGATAAATTAAGCTTAATTATATCTATATTGGTAATGGTAAGTATAAAAATAAAAATAAATATAAAAGTTTAATGATACTTATACTAGTTTAACTTGTATTAGATATTTTAGTAGTTGCAGTAATATCTAACCAAAGCTGTAGCCAATAGAAACTACAATAAAAATAATAGTAGTTTTTTTTGTTAGGAAATTATTGGGCTGCATCAGGCCTGTTTATTAAACCCAATCCAGATCTAATATTTAATAAACCTGACTTGAACCCAGCTCACTTTACAAATAAAACTCTAAAATTTAGACCTGACCTAGGCCTAAACCTGGCCTGACCCTGAAATTTGTGGGTTTAACCTGGCCCAATACGGATCCTAGTGCTACCTCTCTACTCAGGACTTGCCAATTGAGATTTTGTATACCCAGCCCTTAAATTTACACAACCATTTCAATTCAGGTTTCATATAACTTTTGTATTACACTATAGTTCTATGGTCTTCTAGTACAAGCTGATATGATCAAAGCTACAAATCTAATGATCCATCAGATTATACACAGTTTGCTATAACAAAATTTAAATTTTGTCACCAGTAGGATTCGAACTCTTGTTTTGTTACTTGGGGGTGCGACAACTTATCAACTTCATTAAGTTGCTACACCCTTCTGCTCTACAACTTTTATTAGAAGCCCAAAGATGATTAACTTAAAAAAAAATTTCTTTAAATAAATATTATATTTCTATTTTAAGAGATTTATATATAAAACTGCATTGCATTACACTATAATAATTCTTTAGTTTACTAGAGAATTATCAATTATATTTTTTATAAAATCTATAACAAGTTCTATTTAACAAAATGCTTAGTAATTTTAAATTAGCTTTATTGATATTGCAAAAAATAGTATAAAGTATATTTTATTTAACATTTGCTCAGATTTAATAAACTTGAATTTGCATTAACCATGAATAGAATATTAAAAAAGACCATTATACAATTTTACTAATACAATATTTTATTTATGAATTAGCAATAAAATCTTTATTAATAGAAAAAAAAAGAAAGTAAAAAAAAAGAAAAAAAAACAAGAAAAAAGAGAAAGAAAGAAGAGAAAAATATAATATTTACAATTGGATAAAAGATCAGAACATGATAGTATCATCAATTAAATAAAAACATATTGTAAAAATATATATGAAATAAGAAAAAAATTTACAAAAAAAGAAATGAAAATTAATTTATAATTTAACTTAAATTTTTTATATCTATATCCTAAAATCTACATACATCTAAAAATCTACATCTATCTTCTAAAAATCTACGTCTATCTTCTAAGGCTCGAAAATTTTGACTTAATCGACCAGCGATTGAAGTCTTAATATTTTGGCACATATTTCTATAAGTGGTGACAATAATATTATGTTCTGAAATTTTAGTCAAGTTATAAGCCTCATACGAAATTTTTTCTTCTAAAACTCCAATGACAACTCCAAAATCAAATCTGCCATCACTCACCACTGATCTAAATTCGTCGACTTCTTTATGAACTATAAATACATTATTTAATTATTAACTAATAATTTTTCATTTTAATTAATTAAACTAATAATTTTGCATTTTAATTAATAATTAAACATACATATATATTTTGCAAACCATGCTTTGCATTAGATAACGCCTATATATCCATAAATTTCGATAATTATATCCCGACCTTTATCGTTTGATCCTCTAAATTGATAATTAAAATGAGTATATGTTTCATAGTCACATATAGCTGGCGCCAGCATGTATCTTATTCATCATTAATCTTCGCGCCAAAAGGCTCACGAAGACACATATAACTAGAGAAGAACGTTCAATGTCAAAAACATTGGCCACGATGTGCTTTCAATTCTCAAGATGATTTACATATGTGTGACAGCGTAACTTAGGATACATAGTGACTCTACAAAACTCTGTAAGAAAAAACTTACCCAGTGTGTGTAAATATCTTTTCTACAACTCAACACAAAACAGTTCGAATCGATTTCCCATTGCCTTTGACGTTTCTCCAACAAAGTGATAAAATTCTGGTATCTCAAATTCTTGTATATCAAGTATAATAAGCATTTTTGGGTCAGAAAAAAATATCTGCGTGTATACATCTGAAGAAAAAACTTTTATATTATCATCTCACTCATTTTTCGCTGGGCATCAAGATGTTTTTCTTTCAGTTTTAGAGAAGCTACATCGATGTCTTCCAACAGATCGGTGAACTCCGTTTTGATTTTTTCCAACCACGTCGCCCAAAAATTTTTTGTGCTAGGATTGGCGATCAGATTTCTTTTGGATTTTACGATTGAAAAAAAAATTAGAAATCGGAAATTACTACGTAATCATTAATCATAATCGATTATTTATTTATTTTTTTTTTGATCTGCAAAATTTTGCAAACCACAATAATCGACATGCTGATTGATTAGTTGCAACTAATTCATTAAGTAAATGAATAATTTTTCAATCGATTCTTTGCAACTAATCGGTTAATCCTTTAGTCGATTAGTTGCAACTAATCGATTAATCGATTAATTGGTTAATCGATTAGTTGGTGTCTAAAAAGTTCAATCGATTAGTTGTCAATTAACCATTCGATTTATAACACTACACACAGCAGTACTACGAAATTTCGATCTATTTCTTTTTGGCAATACAGTAAAAGTTTCCAATCGTAAATTTAATTTAAAAAACTCAAATTTATAATGTATAATGTTTCTGTTGGCTGCCATCCAAAAATGTTTTTTTTTTTGTAGATAAAAAAACCTCGTAATAATTTGTTGATAAACACAACTACTAACAACGATTTAAGAGAATATTAGGTCAAAAGTATTATTACGTATTAAAAAGATCGTTAATCGTTAATTATAAGATTTATTATGAATTTCATTTCTAGAACAACGATTCCCTCTCATAAACTTTTTCGGTTTTTTGTTCAGGTTCCGTTTTTGCACTTGTGTGTTCGATTTGTTCTTTTGGCTCGCCAGGTGATTTTGTTACTGTTGATTCTGTTGTCATTGTTGTATCATCTGTTTTGGGTTTGCTTACTATTCCCAAGGATTCTCTCAGTAACTCCAAATATTTTCCCGGTGAAAGATCATATTTAATACCCTTTCTGGCTTCGGGTTCAACGTAGGGTTTATACTGTTTGTCCATCATTTCCAGCGGTTAATGTTAAGCAAGCTAGCAAACGATAAATTCACAAATTTACATTGTCACCTTACAATCGGATAAATCAGGTACTACGTATGTCCGAACTTTTTTTAAATCAATTTTATAACCACCTAAAATAATATAATTCGTAAATAAAAGGAATGTATAAATCTTTACTATAAACGACCGCTAGTTACCTTTCTTTGTATGCCAGCCCATGGCGCCACTTCCGGTACCTTCAATTACATTAGTTATTTCAATGTATAAAAAGTATTCAACATTGTGTAAATGCTACGAAAGCCTACCTTTATAGTAATTATGCCCTCTCTTAGAGGTCATTGGATAGCGCCTGGCACCACGATACAATGCTTTTTCCACACCAAATGGCATACTATTAATCACGGAAAGAGAGCTACTGAGCTAAGCCACCGATGAACTGGATAGCATTCATATAATTGGCTGATTTTGTTACTATGATTATCAGCTAAAAATCGATCGTCCTTACTATAAGATCATAGGTAAATCGCAAGATCAGGTGTAACGTGAAAATTAAAAAAAAATTTCGCCCATCATCCTTTGCGTAACCTTTTGCAAAATTGTGGTATAATGCTGCCCACTAATCCCAACCCTAATTCTGTAATTCCGATTAAGATATCTATCACATTATAAAAAGGTGATATGCGAATAGGGTTGTTAAATTTCAGTAATTTTACGTAATTTTACGTAATTTTGTTTAAGATTCGGTAAATTGAAATTTCATGCATTTGCAATTTTGAACACATTTCTGAGATCAAATTTTCGGCGGTTTAGGAGTTACAATTCGGGATCGTACATTCAATAATGCAATACTGTAATGCTGCCGAAATTTTGTAAAGCTGGAGTTTCATGTATGTCGTGTGAAAAAAATTACATGAAATTGAATTTTCTGAAACTTACGTGTAATGTAAAACTGTAATTTATGTAACACAACCCTATATGCGAATAGTCCCAGACAATAAAAATTAGTAAAATCATATTGATACCGGGGATTAAGTTTATAATCACCCGTGTCAAAACGGTTCGTCCGGGTCATCATGATTTTAATAACCCTTAAGTATTATCATTGTCAGGGAGTGTACAGACATAAACTAAAAAAAGTATTTCATATATTTGGGAAAACGGTAACTTTATAGAACTTATGCTACTCTACAAATCTTATACAGGGATCCCGAAATTCCTTGCCGGAAAGCATCGAAGCTAGGCCAGCATTTAGCAATACGGGTTAGTACTAGGGTTGTCAAGTTACCGTAATTTACGTAATTTTGTGAAATTTTGCGTAAGTTTTCAGTAACATGGTTTTCATGTAATTTGTAAGAAACGTGATCATATGCTCATATGATTGGTTGGATCATATGTACATCGATTTAGTCAGTGAACTTTATGCAGAATCTACTGTTACTGAAATTTACGCAAAAATTACAAGAAATGAAAAATTGTAATTTTTGTAATACAACCCTAGTTAGTACAGTTTATATAGCAAAATTATCAGCTAGGCATTTTTTTCTTAATGAAGGGCTATAATTTTATACATAGTAAAATTTTAGTGATCTTTGGCAAAATTGATCAACTCTGGCCCAGACGATTAAGATTCCAATGTCATCCGACCCGATCCGGATTTTGTTTAATATGGAAATACAAGTCGTTCGTTAAGCTCCGGATTTTTTTTTTTTTTTTTACAAAAAATGGTCTCACTATTAATATTCAAAGACGATAAAAAGAGATCTACTGGGCCAATTCTGGTTTTCTTACCACCTTTAGAACCACCTTGGTCTGGAGAATAATTTTTTCTTAATTGACCTAGTTGATTTACTTAGTATAAAACCTAGTGCTGAAATACTTTTTTAATTTCTATTGATTTTTTTTTTTTTGTTTTAAAAAACTTTTAATATAAATATAAAAATCGTTTTTTATAATCATTATCTGCCGTTTATTACGTAGTTTTAGGGGGTAGGTTAGCGGTCATATCAAGTCTATATATTTATGTATAAAAATTATGATTGGCCACTAATTCATTGGGCTGATCTAATAAAAAGAAATTACGTAATAAACGCACTCCACTAAACACTGTAAATGTGTACACAATTTCATTGAGCCGAGCCAAAATAATCACTCTCTTCATCCTTATCTTCCACCGTTTCAAGTTTTCCCTTTTGAGACACTCTCAATGAAATCCCCGGTACAATATGAAGATCATTGTCAGATAAAATCAATATGGAATTTTGACGCGCCCCTGGTTGAGGCGAAGAAAGATGAATTGTGTTACAGACAAATGGCGATGATGATTTTGAATATTTTGAGAGCAATTTAAGTTCTTCAAGTAAATTTTCATAACGAAAGTCCATTCTTATATCGGGAACATTAGTTTTGTGAATATCTATTATATGATAAGAATGGTAAATATAAAAATAATCCTAAAAATATATTTAATATGAATTAATGCATACCATTTCCTCTTCTTCCAGGCATAAACCATTCCTTTCCTAGCCAATGTTTTTTAATAGACATTTCAAATCCACTTTGTATAACTGAATTACGTGCAAGTTCACACATATCTGAAGATGACAATTTCCAAATCTAATAAATTCCAATATATACATTAATATAGAGAATAACAATAAAGAAATATGGTTTCTAAATGTAAATTAAGTGTACCTGAGCTGCAACACTATATTCTTCAATCAATGGTTCTCTAGTGTAATGAAATTGAAGAGGGTCATCTGTGCTCAAACTGATGTTTAACCCTTTCTGAAAAAAGCTTAAAAAGGGATTTCTTTCATAATTCAAGAATAAAGCATTATTAGATAAAGGTGACATCGCTATTCCGATTTGTTTAATATAATAAAGGTACTGTAACGCAGGAACTTTGCGTAACAAAATTCCATGTGATATAGATTGAGAAGTAAGAAAGGCTGAAGTTAAATGGTCTGTGTCTCCAGCCTCACCAGCATGTGGCCGAAGAACAAAAGTATCTTAAATGAATTAATGCATAATTAATTAATGTTATTGCGCAAAATAATAATAATAATAATAAATACATACTAAATCCTCTAGCTTTTCTCCACTGATTCAAACTTGTCATATTAGCAAACATATAATATAAATAGTAAGAATAGGGTGGATTAAGGGCTGTATCCCAATCCTTTGGATGAGGATATTTCTTATGAATACGTCGTTCAGCTTTAGATTCGTCATCTACACTATCAAAACCTACTACACGTTGGAGAAATATGTGTAACTCTGGGTGAGTTTTTGGATCTTTCGTAACCTCAAACAAGGGTTCAAATAAATCTAAAATTATCATTTTGGCGAATAAGTCACTTTTTTCGTGAAATGTTTGGTAATAAAATAAATTCCATAAAGATCAATTGAAAAAGTGTAATACTTTTAATAATATCTTCAAAATTTTCGACAGTTTTGGCATCCTTGTATACACTGTAAAGTCTTGGCACTTGAATAAGCCAACGAACATTTGGTGAAATTATTTTATGATTTATAACCCATTTCGCTAATTTATCCCATTCAGATTTCGAACTACATAATATTATTGCAATTAGATTTAGATATTATCATAGATATACACCATTAATATATTTATTAATATATTTATGTTACCGTCCGTATATCGAAACCCGATACTCTGCCATCTGATATTTGCTTGATTCCAAATCAGCAATTACCTCTATAATAAATGAAGAGCAAAGAATAAATAATTTGTAACATGCGCGAACATGCGATAATCGATTAATTTACCTTTGGTAAGCTCTGCGAGATATCTTCCGTTGATATAATTATCTGTTTTCAAAAATATTTCTCTCAAGCGCGATTCTCCAATAGGATTATATTTCAAATTAAATTTATCAAATCGATGGAACGAATCAGTATGAGCCTTTGTATTTTCAAAAAATAGTTCTAATTAAATTCTGAACTATAAAATATATATATATATATAAAATCGGTTGATTTATAAAACACTGAAGCTTACATGCATATCTAAAGTGTCGATACTAAGATCATATGCAGTCAATTTTAAACTCTCAAATACTTTGGTAAGTGTAAGCACTTGATTATCTCTGTAAATTACTTCGTCCTGTATTATTATTTTATTTTTTTTAAAAAAAAAAGATCGATAATGTTGATTTAATAATGTATGAATAATGGTCAACTTTTTTTGTGAATAAAAACATTTACACACATCAGCATGCCTCTTTAATTTAGACTTTATAAACCTTAGTAGATGCTTGGAATTCATACATGAAGATAGATGAACATGTGTATCTACTTTTCTGACATTATAAAAATCTCGATGGGGAACTTTCTAAAAGAATTTTAGTGTATTAATATTTTTGTGTTTAAATGTAATGATTAGGATCGTAATATAATTTTGATACCTTTGAATCAACCACTTCCTGATATTCTTTTAGTAGAACAAACATATTCCATTTTCCTTCAAGATAACGTAAACGCCTGTATGCATAACTTTTTGCCGGACCTTCTGAAATTACTTTAAGAATATAATCAAGATCCCTAAAATATTCATTACTCCGCGGAACGACATAAGCAGGTTTTCCCTTCTCGAGGCCTAAAAGGATAATAAGTAAGTATTATTATTTTAAATATTATTTTAAAGATAAATAATTAACACAAATGCTTTATATAGTTACATTCTTGAGTCTCGTAAACTTGATAAACACCATGTTTATCAAGTGCGTAAAGAAACTAAACCAAAAGCAGAATAATTTGTACTTTAATTATAGAACACGAAAATAATGAGATTAATATCAACACAAACAAAAAAAAAAATTATAACTTACATCATGCTCTTCAGGTATATTACATTCCTCAAATTTGAAATCTTCACCAACGGTTTTTTTTTCATTATGTCGTTTATGTGATTCATATTGGGATTGAGGTTTTTCCCAGGTTGGTTTTGGCGGTTGAGGATATATTACCCAGCTATCCTTATCCTTCGGGTTATCACCCAACCTTTGTAGAGAAAGTTTCATGTACTTATCACGTAATTCAAGACATTTTTGAAAATCGGTATAGATGGTTTCCAATTCAACCTGAACGTTCTCATCTGTGTTGGAAATTTAAATTAAATTTAATTTAATTAAATAAATCAATATTAAAACAATAACCAACCTATAAATTCTTCAGTGTCCGCCTTTCCACCAGCAAATTCTTTTATACTTCCGATATCGGATGGCATGTTTTCTGAAGGTGTCGAAGTTTGAGGTAACGTAGATTGTCTTGCCCAATATCTAGAATCGTTCTTTTCCAGAATTATATGAATAATGTATAAGTTTTAATAATCTTAATGCATTTCATTGGATAAAATAATAGCACCATATAGTGTGGAATAATATTTTTTATAGGATATATCCTCCGAGTACAATGCATTCCAAGGTCTCCAAAGCTCATGAAGGGTAATACAGTAGGGGTTTTTTAGCCCACGCTATATGATAAATATTTAGGTGTAAACTAGTGCCTACGTTTAGAATAGTTCTATCAACATGATAGGAATAGTACGGAGAGTCTAACTTATTAAAGCTCAGTTTACGATTTATTTTATGTTGATTCCGGTTAAAAGAACCGATATTTTGTTCTTCTAAATCCTCCTTATGACTATCAACGGTTTCTTTTAACATTTTGGCTGGAAGGGTTGGCAGTTTTTTTTTTTTGGATTAAAATTTGCCAATTCACGTTTATCACTATGATCTAATATCTAATATTGATAAAAAATCACATCATTCTGTCATTACGTAAATGATCGTATTCAAGTGCCGGGATCGTTACATTTCACCAATTTATGATTCTTTAATAACGATAAAGTTATTTGAATGCATACACATACTTTTTGCATTTTTAACGTACATTTAAATGGAGTCTGCTATTAAGGAGGAATCTATATATGGGCATGTGTACATATACACGAGCGTTATTGACTAGTTTTCCGGGGAAAAACGGATCATCGAGGACATTCATTGCGTCAGTTATTTTAATAAATTGATTGCCGAAGAGGATTAACGTTAGCGCTATATCGATCAACAAATTTGATGATTAATTTGCGTTAGAGCAGCGTTGCCATGTTCAATGATCCAATGGCTTCGATTGGACATTGGGCGTCCAAGATCTGATGATTTTGATTGGATATTGGACGTCCAAGATCCAATTACGATCCCAAGGCGTTCAAATGATCCAAATGGCAATTTTGTCCAATGTGCATCTTTATACAAGACACGTCGATATATTTTATTAATCTAAATAGTCATGTAAACTATATACGTATATACATTGTACAGTAGTATATACAGTCCCTATATCAATTATTGATTTATAGAGACGAGGATGCAACTAGTCACATGTACAATTTAAG